CCTTCAGCTGCACAAAAAAAGCCCATTTAAAGTCCACAGGACACATTTCCTGGAGTTCCACCACAAACTAACAGCACCTGATGGAACCACTCCCATCCTGAGCAGGATTTAATTTCTGTCTTTGAAAATAAAATGCTATGCTCCCATGATTTGAATGTTAATCTCCCTAGATTTCGGTATCAGTGTTCTTGCTTGTAGACTGACCCCAGCAGCTGTAAGAATGTCTGGCTTGCACCTACACCGCTGACAGGGACACTGTCAACATTAACATCTTCCTTGGCTTTTATTAGTTTTTTTTAGTAAATGTTCCAGAAAAAGGTAACATAGATTTTTGCCCCTTTCATTTCTTACGAGTACCCATTGCTTTAGGCACATACCTAGGTTTCAAAATCGGTAGAGTGCAATTGGTCAGGAAGGGCCTAACTTTTGAGAAAAGCCTGGTTTTCAAATAGTAAACACATCAAATATGGTATATATGTTTTCAATGTTTAACATTGCTCATAGAATTAAATTTCTTCCCTAGACATTTAATTAAACTTCACAGGGTGAATCAGATGTTTTCCCTAGGACTACATACCTGCAGAGTATCACATTTGCATCTGCAGAACTCAAAGTACTTTACAGAGGACAAAGTATTACCTATTATCCCCATTTTACAGACGGGAGGGGAGGAATTTAAGCGCAAAAGAGCTGAAGCCACTGACAAAGTGATTTGCCACAACAGGTAGTGTTAACTGCAAAGATTTTTTTTAATTTCATGCTCACAACAAACAGCACAACTCACAATATTTAAATGAATCTCATGTATAACAATATGGAAACCTGTTTGGGTTTTTTTATTTAAATAATATGCTGCACGTGGTAATAGGTGTGTCCTGGTCTAATCTGTTTCTTAGTGCCAGATGAAGCAAGGGAAAGGAGCTCTTTCATGATCTTAGTTATCGTGTGCATCAGAATGAAAAAAGTCTTGGAGATTCTGTACATTCCTATGAAAAAATGAGGAAACAGATGGAAAAAATAAGGACACATCCAAGGTTTGTGAAATCAACGTTGAGAAGAAGAAATATAAATAGTTGTCCGTTTTATAAGCCTCCAAAGCATTTAAACAGAAACACAAACCTAATTGTGGCGACACCCTGCTTGTTCTGTATAGACACCTAAACCTTTGTTACGTCAAGGGTAGATTACTACAATGCATTCTACTCAGGGCTGCAGCTTTTCAGGAAGTGAAAATTATGGTGGACTAAATATAATAGAGTTTACCTTTGTACCTGCATTTTGATTTACCACCTAATTTGAGGAGTCAGATTTCAGATGTGTGCTCCTTCATTCAGACCTCCCCCTGCATAATTTGCCTGGCAAAATTCTTCAAGCACATCCCCTGAGAAAACAGATTTTTTGTAAAAATGAGCAAGTAAAATATATGGCTTTTCATTATTGGTGATCATGAAGACAAAGATTTTGTGCCTTGGCTGGCATATTTTAATGGTAATTGAATTGGGCTGCCCAAAAGGCCAGGCTTATCAAGTTTAGGCCTTGATCTTGCATTAATACAGGGCACGCCTACACGTAGATTGATGTGCCTTTTCTAAGGCGCAGTAAATTTAATACCTCCAATGTGAGGTACTAAATTAATGAGCATTAGGCTGTGCTAGTGCACAGTAGCACATTTGCATGCTTTTTAAATGCTTATTAAAAAAGACTTTTACTACTAGTAGACTTTTACTGCGCATTAGTGTAATGTGATTTTTTTCATGTGATGCTTTAATGCACAGTAAAATAGTCTACTGCACATTAAAGTGCACATGTAGATGCGCCCACAGAGGACTAGGTGCTTGTGAGTAGTCTCTTTGCACCTGTGTGTCTTTACAGGATTGGGGGTTCACATTTGAGCCTACAGTCCTTTCTGCATGCAAAGCATCTGGGGAAGTCAATCCCAGAAGCATAAAGCATTTCCAGTATGCACGGTCTGGAACTTTATAGAAAAATAACTTTTGTGCTGTCTGTGTTTGCTGGGTGTTGTCCTGTTTATTTCATAGCAATTATTTTGGAATTAGATTTGTTTATTGCAGCCAGATTTTAGAACGTATGATTTAGGAGTCTCGGGTTCTATTTCCAACTCTACCGCTGACCTACTGTGTGACCTTAGGCAATTTAATGGTTGCTCTTGGCTCTGACCCTCACAATACTTATTTATAGGACTAGCCCATTCATTCTAGGGGACTAGTCACCTGTGTTCATGTCAGCAAGACTGGGACCCTTGGGCTTAAAACACAGTGCTAGGAGCTCAGCACTGGCTTCCCAGCTCTTTTACAGATTGAGACACCACTATATACAATTTCCCTGATCTGACTTGATTTACCCTTCTTTAAAATGGGCACAAGAGGACCTGACAGGTGTGGTGACAGGCTTAAATAATTAACACCCAAGACGCTTTGACGCTGAGTGTGACAGAGTGCCAATAAAAGGATTACAGTGCTCTATTAATATCGGTGCATCATCTTCCTTATCTGTAAAAAAAAAAGGGGGGGGGGATAATATCCATGATTGCAAAATACTTTACAATAAAGGATAAGCGTCAGGTATGGTTATTATTTATTGCATTCCATAATCTCTTTGAATGTACAAAACAGCCTGTCCTTCTGAGAGAGATGCGTACATCACACATGCATATTTAGACACACACATATATATGCATATATGCACACATATATGTATATATATCCACACACATACATGCACGTCTATATCTACAGACATGTATATACATATATACACACATATACATGCATACGTATGCATATTTTGTATATGTGCATGCATATATATACATACATGCACACGTGTATATATACACATATACATGCACGTCTATATATACACACACACGTATATACATATATACACACACATACATGCATATGTATGCATATTTTGTATATGTATGTGCATGTGCGTGTGCATGCCTGTATATAGGTGTGTGTGTGTGTGCATGCACGTCTATATTTGCAATCCACTACGGCAAATCGTATTTCTTAATACTCCCAGGCCTGGCTGCTCCTCCAGGCACGGAGGACCCAGGCGAACCACGAGCCTGCAAGCTCTGGGGCTCCCGCGTCAGGGCGTTTCCTGGCCCCCACCTGCCCTGGCTCCAGCACCCCCCTGCAGCCGAGCTCGCCCTTGGGCTCCGCCAAGCCCCACTGCGCAGCTCTCGTGCTGCCTCCCCGGGGCTCAGCCTTGCCTCGGGGCGACCCGGCTGCACCATGTCGCCTCCCTTTCTTCTGCGGGGCTGGGGGAAGAGCCTGCTGGCTCGGATCGCTGCCCTGCTCCTCTCTCTCTCTCTCGACTTCAGGAATAAAAAAAAATAGATTTTAGCAACCCGATCTCTTGTTTGCGCAACACAATCACTTTTTTTTTTT